CACACACACACACACACACACACACACACACACACACACACACACACCCTGTTTCCGGGGAACAATTCTTCAGGGAATATATTTTTTTGGACAATTGAAACATTCCTGTGCCAAGTTCCGCTTTTTGCAGCTCTCCCCATTCCCTACCCCCCCCCCACACCCCCAGCAGCACCTGACAGAGTGCTCTGGGCTCCCAAGATGGGGAGTGGGCTCAGAACCCCTCAGGGTGGAGGAGCTTGAAGCACAGAACTTGGACATCCCTTCCCTCATTGGAGCCCTAAAATCACCTAGGGACGTATTACTCTTTTTTTTTTTTTCAAGATTTTATTTATTTATTTATTTGACAGAGACAGAGAGAGAGACAGGGAGAGAGGGAACATAACCAGGGGGAGCGGGAGAGGGAGAAGCAGACTCCCCGCCGAGCAGGGAGCCCGATGCGGGGCTCGATCCCAGGACCCGGGGATCATGAGCCGAAGGCAGACGCTTAATGACTGAGCCACCCAGGTGCCCCTGGACACGTTACTCTTGCCCCCATTTTATAGGTGAAGAAAAAGCTCAGAGCAGTTAAATGATTTACTCAGGTCACACAGAGAGTCCGTTGGTACTGGGGCTGAGTTTCAAACCCGAGTGGTTTTCCTACAAATCCTCATCTCTTTCCTCCAGGTTCTCCTGACTTCCTGCAATCTTCATGGAAATGAGAATGGAATTGAACGTGTGTAGAACTCCCAGCTTTATTGCAACCCCAATGAAATGAAGTCTGTGTCTCTCTTGCAACTCAAAGATCGATTGCTCAGGTGGAAGATAGTTATAGATCGTGTTTTAAAGTTTGGTATTTCATTTTCGCTTAATGCCCACAGAATTAGGACATTAGTTTCTCATAAATCAATGCCGTCCAATCAAGTATGCTCTTAGTCATAAATACACTGGAGGTGAGCTACAATCACATGGGCTAACCACTATCCACTGAAGTCTTTTGGTTTTTTTTTTTCCCACTTAAAGCAGATGATTTACTTATGGAAATGTCACTGAGACTGGAACACCTTTTCCATTTCTTTTGACGGTACTTTGAGCCATCACCCCTCCCTCTGCTCCCAGTTCAGAAATGGGTGCTCAGGGTATATAATTTGCTTTGTCCTGTTTTGTTTTGGGAGATCAGTTCTTTAAATCATTTGGCCAGACTGAATAAAATAACACCAAGATTTTTTTTTTTTCTTTTTGAATCCACAAGGTGCGAGGAGAACTGACATTTATCGAACCCTGGCTTCGCACCCCACACTTGGGTTCTGTGCTAGGGCACCCAATCTTCCCTGCCATGCTGGGCAGGAAGAATCGTGATTCTTGTTTCGCAGATGCACCAACTGGGTCTCCTGGAGGCTGAGAACCTCATCAGCAAGTGCTGGAGGACTGCTGTGCCCTTCCAGCCCTCTTTGCCCTGATGGCAAATCAAGAAATTCGCCTGTAAGGCGCCTGATCAGAATATCCTTCTAGAAGCTTGGCTCTACCAGTTGTGGGAGACTGGCACTGTGGACAGTCACCAGTCCCTTCCTCAAGAGCATTCTGAAGGTGGACATCAAGAAGGAAAATGCTTTACCCCAGGTCTCACTACATTTACTTAGCGGTGGGGCCTGGATTCAAATCAAGATCCCGTTCTTCCCAATCCCACGCTCTTTCCACTTAATATTGTATTTCTGTTAATATCATTTAAACCAGCTCAAGTTGGGTAGGTCGAAGAATAATGGGCTGATGGCTGAAGATGAACTCTCTGTCCTCTGCATCTAGTACCAACCTCTGAAAAGGGAGATGTTTGCAGAACTTCACCTGCTGCTGAATACCCAGTGGTAATTTTTTCTTGCCCCACGCCATCTGGTGAACGTTGGCTGCGTCCCCACTTGTCCCCAGGGCTCCAGGACTGTTGGGCATTATGGATTTCTTCAAGTACATAGTTAGGCCCAAATCTCTAGTCTTCAGGTTTTTAGTGTTTATGTTTGGACAGCATGTGAGAGGAAGCTGATGGGATATTTACCCAAAGACAAGACACTTTTCAGACTAAGATGCTGCTGCTAGAAGCTCTACCAAGCCTGGACCTCCGCGGACACTGGCGACAGGACCAGAGCATTTCAGTCGTCCAACGGCCACTCCCTGCGATGTCCCGTTTGGGGAGAGGACAGTCAAATGCGGAACTGTGGGATGGGGCCTGGCAGTCCCGGGGACCATGCCTGGGGGTGTTTTTGCCCCAGTCGGGCTCTCAGCTGCTTGTTGGTGCCAGCAGGATGGAGTTTGCAAGACTGAGAAGTGATCCGAGTTTCTGTTTGAGACCTCCGTCTGTGGGCTTTCTCAGAGCTCACTGGGGTCCCCATAACTGGCTGCCTGGCCATACTCCCGTTCTTTGTGGCCTGGCGCTCATGGGCTGTGCAAATACCGCATAGGATGGTTGAAAGAAAGAGCTCTGGACTACGACAAACCCAGGTTTGATTCCTAGCCACTTCACTGCTGTGTGACCTTGGACACTTTACTTAACCTTTCTGCACCTTAGCTTTCTCATCTGTAAAATGAAGCTAATATTGCTGATCTGATAAGGATTATGAGAGATCATGTATATGAAGTACTCAGTGCCTGGCATACAATAAGTGCTCAATAAATGGCAGATTATTATTTTTATTAGCTGTGTATTTTGAATATACACCTTAAAAAACATTAGGCTTAATATCGTAAAGCATACAGACACGCGCTACAGCAAGGATGAACCTTGAGAACATTATGTTAAGTGAAAGACATCAGACACCAAAGGCCACACATCGTATGATTCCATGAATATAAAATGTCCAGAATAAGTGAATCTATAGAGACAAAAAGTAGTTTAGAGGTTTGCAGAGGCTAGGGGGAGAGGAGAGTGGGAAGTGACTGCTTAATGGGTAGGGGTTTCCTTTTTGGGTGGATGAAAATGTTCTGGAACTAGACAGTGGTGATGGTTGCACTATATTGTGAATGTACTAAATGCCACTCAATTCTTTAAAATGGTTAAAATGGTAAATGGTATGTATATTTTCCCACAATTAAAAAAATTGTGTAAAGCAGACCCACTCCAGACATCTCTGGATTCCGTTCATTGTTCTTTGAGATCATATAGCCACCTGACGGTCACAGAGGCAGGATCAATCTGTGTAGTCACTCTTGTATCAGAATCAAAGGCCTTCACATTTTTTAAAAAGCCTTTTTATTTTATTTTAGAGAGCGCGCGCGTGCAGGTGAGCGTGAGTGGGGGAGGGGCAGAGGGAGATTGGGGGAGGGAGAGAGGGACAAGCAGACGCCACACTGAGCATGGAGCCTGCCAGGGGGATAGATCTCACGACCCAGAGATCATGACCTGAGCCAAAATCAAGAGTCGGAGGCTTAACAGACTGAGCCACCCAGGTGCCCCCAAATCCTTCAAATTTTAAATAGTGCTTTATAATGTACTCACATGAAACTACCTTCCTCAGCATACTGTGAGGTCGGCAGCAAGAAACATTGCTCGCATTTTACAGGTAACAAACTCGAGGATCAGTGCAAGAAGATTAGTTGTGGTTGTTACATACGCTGTTAATCGTGGTGACATTTTCTGAGTTCACAGAGTGAACAGGTGGGTGTCGGAGGCTGGACTCCAATCCTTGTCTTCTGGTTCCTGGATCTGGGCTTTTTAACTTCTCCATTTTGCTTTACACATGGTTGTTGACAGTTCATTTTATATTACACGTATGACTTTATTTTTATGTTTTTCATTTATAAACGGTACTGGGTTAATGTTTATCCCTGGCTGACTCCCAGGGAAGGGCAGATTGTGTTTTTGTGGAGAGTTTGCATTTGGGCTGGTGGCTTGCTTTATTTAACTGAAAATGACTGCCTTCACTAGGGGCCATTAGCACATCAAAATGGTGTTTGTTGAACCAGGAAAAGTGATACATTAGGCTTGCATTATTCTTCGGTCCCCAAAGACTAATTGTTGGTTTGTATTTTTAAACACCTTTCAAGTGCTAAGAGCCCCTAATTTAACCCTAAATTAAGAAACCATTAGGGTTGAGAATAGTGGTGTGATGTGGGCACAGTGTTCCAATTATGGCACTGGGATGAGGCGTGTACGAAAACATAACCCCTCTGTGTCTGATGCTCTTTGACACTTGACAAGTATTTCCTTTTGTTAGTTAACCCATATGTCAATCCTTGACATGGGCCACTAAAAATGACCATTTTACAGATGAGGACTTTGAGGATTTAGAGAAGTGTAGTGGTATGCCAACTCAGAGCTTGTGAGGAGCATTTGGATGTGGGTTTTGGCACTCAGGGCTTCAGCATTATACCGGAGAGTTTTGCTGGTGAAGTCACACCCTTGGTTGGGTTTGGGGCATACACAACACTTGTTGCATTATTACAAACTGCTCAGAGCCCACCCCAGTACTGGTTTGAAACTGACATCCCATGATTCCACTTACAAATCTGACTTACCTGCAGAGGCTAATCTCTTCACGCAACTCAGTGACCCAAAGGAGGCTGGGATGAGCACCGTAGGAGGCTGTTAAAAGAGATGTTTGTGGCTGCCCCTAGTATCTGATGAGGTGTTCAGCTAATTTCTCTGACTGGATAGAAACCCAGCCCTATTCCACAGAGAAAAACAGCGGCCGTGTCAGGGACACCTGGAGACATCCTCTGAGTGGATATGTTCCCAGGGGGCCTAGAATACCACTGTTTTGGGTTGATGTTGTTAATCTCAGTTATCACCAGCCTGTTAGCTTGCTTGGTGTTGGGTGCTTAGCCTGAGCTAGCCCAGCTCGTCTCCTCCTTTGGGCTGTTCTAGTATCCAGACTCATTCTCATGAGTCTGCCCAATTGAGCTCCAGATGTAGTAGACTCATTACACCCTATCAAGCCAGGGCCAAAGCTAAGCTGAGATGGTCAGTGAGAATGAGTCAGAAGGAGGTTCTGGTCATTGACATGGCCTAAATCAAACCCGGGCAGCCCTTGTAATTCAGGGCACTGGGGGAAAGGGGCTGGGAATTGCTCAGAATCAAAAGCCTCCATACTGGGGTGTGTGTGTGTGTGTGTGTTTCCATTGTATTTAGCAAAATAAACCATCTGGCCCTGTTGGCAATTTTCTAACCAAAGTCCAGCTCCCTAGATTCAACCTCAACCTCACCGATCGGCTATTTTGAGCAGTACACTATTAGTGGGGGATGCTTGGTGCTAGGGGAATTTGGCTTCTCATATATAATAATTGCCATTATCTTTCAATTACTTAACAAATAGCAAAGCACGGGGTCATGCTGTTTCAAAAGAGTCTCCTGAGAGCAAGGCTGGATATCTCCAAATGTTACCCGGAATTAGCTGGGAGAGGGCAGCATTTTTAGCATATACCCAGGGGAAAATGCATACACTATGTACTAATCACTCAGGTGGCGCCATGGCTGTTTGCCCTTTCACCTTAACCTCCCACTTCCGGCTAAGAGAGATCTAGTCAACCCAGAAAAGATTTCAGTCAGGTCCTTCCTGCTGCTCTCAGTCTAGACCTAGACCTCAACCTAGACCTCAGACCTACCAAATAGTCAGGATGAAAGATGAAAAAAAAGTGAGGAGAAAAAAAAAATCAATAAACGAAGGAGCAGGGCACCTGGCTGGCTCAGTCAGTAGAGCCTGTGACTCTTGATCGCAGGGTCGTGAGTTTGAGCCCCATGTTGGGTACAGAGATTACTTAAAAATAAAATCTTAAAAAAAAAAATGAAGTAGTGAGGGGAAAGAAGTTAAATCGTTTGGTGTTGTGAAGACCCAAACAAATAAAACTGGATTGTAGGTCGTCTCTCTCCTCGCTTTGGAATCATAGCTACCTTCTATTTTGGGTTTGCCAATAAGCAAGTGTTGATAAAATTTTACGAAGAAGATGCTTTGGGCAAATTAAACATAGCCAATTTTGTTGAGAAATACGCTCTTTTCCAGTGTAATTTTGTAACATCTTAAACAAGCACCGTTCCCTATGAGAAAGTAGGACCCAAAAAAGATCTTTTTGTTTTAGATACAAGATTTGATTAGATTTAATGTAGGATTGCAACTTTGAAAGGAGCTTTGGTTTTTCTGGTGGCATAAGAATTAAAATTAAATTTGGCTTTAACTAAAAATCCTCAACACAAAATGAGGATTAAATGTTAGGGATCTGTCTGCCCATGCACCTTTTGATTTCATTTTAATTGGCATCTCGAACACTCAGGGTAGAAGGCACACTTTTTAATTTTCAGGAGCGTGGAGATCTCAGGTACTCGGCTTGCTAGCTTTGCGTGGGTCTTTATGCCACCGAGTGAATAGTTGTGCACTTCTTGTAGAATCAAGGACTAAAGAAGGAAAGGGTAGAGGAGATTACACTTCCGGAACCCTGATTCCCACTAAACCAAAGGCAAGCGCTTTGTAACTATTGATCAGGAAATAAACCCTCTTTATTATTCCACAGGGAAACCTCTTCTCCCTCTGCTTTTCTACACCTCTTCCCATAGATACATGGTTTATACTGACCTTGCATTTCTTCTTACACACCTGTCAATTTGGAACTCTTCTGGCCTTAATTGCTGAATTTTTCCCCCTCCTCAAAACAGGAAGTGATAATACCCCAGCTGGCAAGTTAAACATTTCTGTCAAAAAAAAAAAAAATAGTTCCAAACCATTTGTCCTTTTCAATTTACCCAGTAAGAACAAGAGTGAGATATGGCAAGACTGGCCAGCTCGTTGTTGCCCCCAATTTCTTACATTCAGTACCTTAGAACAATGTTTTTAATTCTCTTCAAGAGGTAACGATGTAACTGCTTCAGATTTTTTAATTAAAAATGAGAGATTATGACTCTGGACGGGTTCTAAACACTTTTGGAGGGACTATAATTTTTCTTATTAATGCCTCACACAGCAACACTCAACTTTGCTCAACTCACAAGTCTTTGCCTTTGGTGGATGGTGATCAGCCGCTGCAGAGGTGGTGGAGGGAGGGAGTGATGACTAGTGCATATGTTTATGTTATTTTAGTAGAAAATCCATGTGCCATTGGTAATGAATTGAAGGTTAAGTGACAATTTTTCTTTACAACCACTCTTGCCGAATAGTCTGTGAACTGAAAACTGGATTAACCTTTAATTACCCTCAACGATCTCTCAACCCCGAGACAACATTACCACTCCTACCAGTAGTATTTGCATATACAATTTAATGAGAGAAACATCTGTTTGCATATTCGCTATCATTAATACTATGCAGATGAATAGATATTCACAATGTGATAGGCATTCGTGCTAACGTCTCATTTTCTTCCTTCATTTCTAGTCTTTCTTCCTCCACCCACAGCTTCAGCTGGACTTGGATTAATTAGAATTAAGGGCTGTCTAGAGCCAACTGCCTTGTACAGGATGCACAAATGCAATGTGATCTGAATGCCTACAAAGCCACATTTTATTCAACTGGGGGAAAACACTGCTGGGTCCCACAGAATGCACACCGTAGAGGCCTGTGTGTGTTTATGTGTGTGTCTATGAACTTGAAACAAAACCATGTTTTTTCTGTCTTTGATCTAAATAAAAAAACCCAAACAAACCTTGGTATGTCTATTTTTGGAAACCCTTGCCTTCACACACAGCTTTCCTCTCTGATGGCTATATCAAA